ATAATTTTAGATTCATTGTAGTGATTTTAAGACTATGACAATATCCCTCCGCTGTGGGAAGCTTTTGACCATAAAAGCAAAACATGGATGTTACATGGAAATAGTGCTACTAAAGGCTTGTCCGTGTTGGACCAAACATTATACATACATTGAGAATGCACATTTGATCAATCAATGATTGACAAAATAGAAAATGCGGCAGTATTAATTATAAGCAAGTATGAAACATCGTAAAACAGAAAACAACATATGACATGATAAAATTGTTCTGCTTTGAGAAGCAAACAGGTATATAATATGGTGAACAAAATACAACTGTCACAATAAACCATGTATGGTAGAGTATTGTTCTCAGCAGGAACTCGGCCATTGTATAAAGTCCCTAAGTAGAAAAGGTTATTAACCTGTGATGGGCAAATTCATTTGGAACACTGGGATGAAGAATATCAGATCAAGGTTTTGAAAAGTTCAAATAGGTGTACAGGGGGCCAAATAGTGTCATATTTGGGCAATATTATTGTATCAATGTCGTTTTGATTGAATGTATGACATTTCATGAGTGTAATCAATGATAATAAATAACTGATTCTGATAACATGGAGCCAGGATTCAGTGGGTTGATAGTGTTGACAACGAGTTTGAAGAGATGACATTTGCAACTATCATCCTTCTAGCACTTATGAACACAGGAGGACCTGTAGGTTTGTTATCAACGCCTAACAATTTTCCCTGAACCTAACTGCCATGGACTATCAAAGTCGAGGGTCCCTATATTATTAGAGATTAGACAAAATATTTGTGAGATCTTTTGTGCTTACGACTGCGTCCAGTCTGTGTTTTGTGCACGTGGAAGTCTCTGATAAGTCCTTGTCCTATGTTATGGTGTGGTTCCCATGTTGGTGTAGGATATCCATCCCATTTGACAAGAAAATGGCGTATGCCGTTGATGTCTTTGTACTTCAAGAGTTTTTCAACATCATAGAATTGATCTTGTTGGTGACCATTTGTTTGCTTGTGAGAGTGCTCTGATGGCACAGTTTCATCCGCTTCTGCAGTAGGCTTTTCACTGGAGACTGTTGAGTCGAGTGGAGAGTTGCCTTGCAAAGTTTGCGCAGGAGGATCTGGTAATGATTCTGTAATTGTAGGTGTGGAAGAACCTGATGAGTCATCATGCCGTGCAACATTACCTCTGAGGATATAGGGTTTCAGGCGATTGGCATGGACCAAAGATTTGTGTTCTTTGTCGTCTGAACATCTATGGATTTTGAACGTGTGGTTTGGACCAATGTTCGTGATATAATAAGGACCTGTCCATGACTGGGACAGCTTGGGGGAAAGTCCTTGTTTGACTACAGGGCTGTGGAGAAGCACCTGCTGGCTTAATCTGAATGAAGGTTCTGATGATTTCAGTTCTTGATGCTCCTTATCTATCTGTTGACTTACAAACATGTTGTCTCGAGCAATAGCTTTGACAACCTTCAGATTATCAATGAGCTGTTTAAGATGCGTCTCTGCGCTTTTACCAAGTGTTGGCTTTGGCGTGAGTTTAGTGTCAAATGGAAGACACATTTCTCTGCCAAAGAGCATTTGATGTGGTGAGAAACCAGTTGATTGGCATGGTGTGTTTCGCATTGCCATGAGAACACATGGAAGAATGTCAGCCCAGTTAGATTGGTCAGGCTTACAGTACGATTTTAAGGCTTGTGCAATTGTACTGTTACGCCGTTCAACCATTCCATTTGTCTGGGGGTGGTATGATGATGTGAAGTGGTGTTTCACCTCAAAGATTTCACAGATTGCATTGACTAGCTTTGATGTGAACTGGCGTCCTCTATCAGTGATAAGAGTTCGAGGAGCACCATACCTTGTAAAGACCTCATTAAAGAGTTTCGTTGCTACTTCCACGGCATCTTGGGTGTGCAATGGAAATGCTTCAATCCACCTAGAGAATGAGTCCACAGCTACAAGAACATACTTATGCCCATCCTTTGTTTGAGGAAGAGGCCCAAGAATATCAACATGTAGCCTGGAAAAGTTGTCTTCAATAGGCATAGGTACCATTGGAGCTGGCTTAGAATGGACCCGACGTTTGGTTTTTTGACATTCTTCACATGATTTGATGTATGTTTCAACATCCTGGTACAAACCTGGCCAATGGTACTTGGTCAATATGGACTGACGGGTAGCATCACGACCAAAGTGGCATCCACCTGCTTTTGAATCATGATAAGCATAAAGCAGGGATTTCCTGTCTGCAATAGGAACTGCCAGTTGTGTGACCATTGGGTGGCGACCATTCTTGTGTCCTCTGTGCTTTGGCATGTAGAAATGATATAATATACCGTTGCAAAGATCATACTCCTGTGAGCGACCCTGGAGGCCTTTAATTTGAGAATCAGTGTAATGAGAGGGAATCTCACCATTCTCTAGATAGTCAATGATTGGCTTAAGATCTGGAGAACAGCGCTGTCTCTCTGCGAGATCGTTTTCAGGAATATCAGTGCCAATAGTTTGAACTGTTGGTCCTGCTGGAATCTCATCTTGATAGCAGAATTCAACACACAGATCGAGTGATGCTGTTGCATTAGAATCTACAGCTTTCTGATCAGCTGGATTAGGGTTTTCTGAAGATGAACGTTCAGGAGATATCCCACAGTCATTATCTGAAGAAGTAGGCTGACCATCAGTGTTGTGATGGATTGGGTTTCTCTGTGGTGCTGTTGCACCCACTTCGGCGTGTGAGCGCTGGATTGGTACATGATTGTACTGGACATTGGCTGTTGTGTAGTTGATAGAAGGCCGTGGTGGGACAGGGAAATCATCAGTGACAGGTTCAGTGATCTGTGCAGGATATGGAATGCGAGAGAGAGCATCAGCATTTGTGTTAGCTTTACCTGCTCTATGTTCGATCTCGAAGTCATATTCCTGGAGCATGAGAGACCATCTGGCAAGACGACCTGTTTCTTGTTTGATGTCCTTTAGCCATTTGAGAGCATGATGATCTGTGTACACTTTAAACTTTTGAGATGTGAGGTACACCCTGAAAGTTCTAATGCCTTCTAATACAGCCAGACATTCCAACTGAGTGATGCCCCATTTCTTCTCAGCAGCATGAAGGGCACGACCACCATAACAGATGACATGCTCTTGGCCGGAAGCATCTCGTTGTCCTAAGATGTACCCTAGAGCTGAGGTGGAAGCATCAGTTGTGAGAATAAATGGTCTGTTAGGGTCAGGGTATGATAAGACAGGGGCTGTAGTTAAGCATTCTTTCAGTCTGTTGAGTGCCTGCTCACATTCGTCAGTCCAGTTAAATGTGGCATCTTTTTGAAGCAAGTTGTACAATGGAGAGGCTATGCGGGAGAAATATGGGACAAACTTGCGATAGTAACTTGCAAGACCAAGAAAATGTCTAACATCATGGACGTTTTTTAGGAGAAGGGATGCTTTTCACAACTTCTACCTTTGATTTGTCGACTTCCACTCCGTTTTTGCTGAAGACATGGCCTAAATATGATACTCTCTTAGCTGCGAACCTACATTTGCTTGGTTTTAAAGTAAGTCCTGCTTCCTTGAGTTTGCCAAAAACACATTTGAGATGTTGCAAATGCTCTTCATAGGTTCTGCTGTAGATAATGATATCATCTACATAAATCAAAATATACTTCCAATTCATGGACTGGAGAGCGGTAGAAATGGTTTGTTGAAAAGCGGCAGGTGCATTTTTTGAGGCCAAAAGGGAGACGGTTAAATTCAAAAATACCATCTTGAGTGATGAAGGCTGACTTATGTTTTGTTTCAGGGTGAAGTGGTATCTGCCAAAATCCACTTGCACAATCAAGTACAGAGAACAGCTGAGCATGTTTTTCACCAATAGCATCTATGACATCCTCTAAGCGTGGAAGAGGGAAGAAAATTGGTTTTGTTGCTGCATTCAGCTTTCGATAATCGACCGCAAATCGATAACTGTTGTCAGATTTCTTGACCATGACTACTGGTGAATGCCATTCAGAGTGACTTGGTTCTATTATTCCTGCATCTAACATTTCCTTAATTTGTTTGGCACATTCTTTTCTAACCAAAGATGACTGACGATAGAAGGGGAGTCTAACAGGACGTGTATGCTCTGTCTCAATCTTATGCTGATGCAGATGTGTTTTGCCTAGCTCTGACCAGTCTTGTGCAAAAACTGATCTTTGAGACAAGAGGAAGCACTCAAGTTGTTGCTTTTGGGTCTCAGTGAGATCTGAATCACTCAGGTCAAAAGACAGTTTGGAGTTCAGATTTGAGGAGCTAGAAGGATCTGCAGTGTTGACTGAAGGATGACCCTTGTTTGGTTCAGATTCCAGTGTATGGATAGATGATTGGTCAATGATGGAGGCTGTGGCTACTATTCGTTGACAACGAAGCAAAACAGGTTTATCAGTTGGATTGAGAAACCTCATGCATGGTCTACCTTTGGCGCTTTGGATGAGACATTTGGCTCCTTGAAGTTGGAGTGCCTCTAGGCCAGGAAATGGTTCCAGTAGCAATATTCTGTTGTTCTCACAGCGGGAGATTTTAACAGGAATATCAGCCTGAGAATGGGGAGGAATTTCAACAGTTTTTCGCGGTCTCACAAACCCTGCATTGGCATCAACCAAGCTTACGGATATTAATCCATCATGCAGGTGAACTGAGCGGCTTGAGAGATCAATTTTGACATGGTTTGACTGGAGAAAGTCTAAACCAAGAATGATGGCATGATGCAATGAAGTGAAGACATGAAATTCTTGTGAAAATAAAGCATGACCAATTTTAAGTTGTAGTGTGACTAAACCTAACACTGGGTGACGTTCTCCTCCTACACCAATGATCTCTGTCAGATGAGATTTCTGAAGGTGAGACTCAGTGAGTCCTATTTTCTTCAGAAATTTCATGTGAACACAGCTGATTGTAGCGCCAGTGTCTATCAATGCTGTTGTTTTCATTTGCTTAACCTTAATCTGAATGGTGTTTTTGCATAGAGGGGCTACAAGAGATACTTCATGTTGACTAGGATTGGATGAGATTGGGGTAGTAGGTTTACTACGATTGAAAGGGGAGTTTGATGGTTTGGGCAGTTTACATGGGTGCCTGATTCTAAGTGGATCCTTGGAATCAGGCACGCGTCCCTATGCGTTATGTACCTTAGACAGAAGAACCTGATAGCAAACAGATGTATGATGACCCTTCTTCCTGCAAAATTGCAAATTGTATGCCGATGGGGACAATAATTACGCTGAGAACAATACCCACCACATCCTGAGCATCTTTCTCTGCTGTCCCTGCTGGATGGACGGTGGTGCTCTCTTCTGAAGTCACGTGGCCTGTGCTCCGACTGTTGACCAGGATACGATGACTGAAGACGTTCTTGTCTGGAACTGTAGACATCTCGTCGAGGTTGTGACTGGTACCTGACTCCTTGCTGACAGTCATCTTGGAGTGTCTCCTGCTGTGTAGACATTGCAGCTGCCACGGGTCTCGGTTGGTTCTCCATCAGTGACATCACTAGTGCTGACAGTTTAGTGACTTGGTCTGTGAGGCTAGCTTGATCTGGCTGCTGGACACTGAGGTATGACTTGGCTGCAAGTTCACCCTGATGACGCACTTGTTCCAATGTTTTGGGCTCTTTATTGTAGACCCATTGTCTGACGGAAGGGTTCAGTCCATTCACAGCTATAGCAACTAAGATATCTGTTGGTATAGACTTCCTAGAAGTTGCCTGTTCCACTCTACTGATGTAATCAGATACTGACTCAGCAGGTTGCTGATTTATGGCTAGCACGGAGAGATCAAATTGTCCTGATGGTTGAAATCTAGAATAGAAAGCTTGTTTCAAACTATTCCAGTCTGATTTGATATCTTCACTTAAGGATAGATGCCACTGTTTTGCTGGTCCTTCTAAGAGAAAGTTCAAAATAAGCAAGCTCTGTTTTGATCAGTACCTTGGAGTTTCACCCAGGTCTCTAGATCTGACCACCAGTTAATTGCATCCTGCTTACCTGAGTATTTTGGAAGCTGAATATGTGACATGGACATACTTGTAGATGGGGAAGTAAATAAAACACTTGAACTTGTTGTTGTTGATGATGATGTTGTTGTTGTTGATGCTGTTAATTCTGACGTTGATGTCGAGGTTGATATTGACGTTGTTGCTGTTGTCGTTGATGTTGACGTTGATGCAGATGAAGTTGATATTCCAGCTGTTGGCATCGATGATGTTGTATTTGGAGCTGGTGTCGATGATGACTCTGCCGGCAGACTCAGTGTTTCTAAGGACTCAAGATTGGAAGACCGCAGCCTTGACCTGTAGTTTTCGGGTGTTACGCCTTTCATCAGCACCGGGATCTTTGATCTCCATCAACTGACGTAGCTTGTTACTGACTGACGTAGCTTGTGTTTCTTGGGTTGCTTGTTTGTCTGGTGCTACATCACATTGACGACAAGATATTTGGGGGGAATTAACTTGGCAGAGCTGACTACTCGGCCATCACCTTAAAAACAGAGAGAAGGCTGCTGAGTCCCTTGAAGTCTTTATTCGTAGCAGAGTGAGTAATTATATACTTATAGAGAGATTGCAAACAATAATAAATATACATGGTAGATACGGTAAATGACTAACAGTTAAATAAACCTTAGCAGCGTAACAGTGGTATTGTTATCCAGGCAAAGTTGGCCGACTTAAATGATTGGTTTGCGAGTCACTGATAATTAGAACCAATACGGTAATACATTTACAAAGTAAGTTGTGTACAATACTAGACAGGGATTTATTATATCTTATTCTAGCTAACGTATATCATACATGAACTGTTAATACTTACATTTACGGCATTCTAGCGTTACTGATGTATTTACATATACCTGTAATTTACATACTGTATTATTTCAATGCCGTAAATGCTTAACCGACTGATAGACGTAGCATAGCCAATATTCGCATGAGCCGGTATTTACGTGAGGTTACCCGCGGGTATTTACCACAATGTACACGTACTCATACTAAGTGCTTTAATGACTATCTATCACTTGGCATATCAACAGTTAATGTACAACTAGACTACTGTGCTAATATCTACATATATAAACATACTATTTGCATCCATGTTGCCTTGTGGTATACTGAACTGTATAAACGTGAGGTTAAGGCTATGAAAAAGGTAGCACACATAAGTAGAGCGCATATCACACGGTATAACTTCCCGACTTTAACTAGTACAATAATACAATCTTACCTTAAAAACAGAGAGAAGGCTGCTGAGTCCCTTGAAGTCTTTATTCGTAGCAGAGTGAAGTGTCTGCTACTAGACTCAGTATATATAGGGACTCAGGCCTTCTGTGGAATTTCTGAGTTACCTAATATTGTAGCTGTAATCTAAAATCTGGTGTATCAATTGCAATTAGCTCTTTGTCATGGAGTGCACTGACTACTTAAAATCATTTATATCACTACGCAACGGACATAAGCTACTTACAATGACGTTGCGCCCGGCCATGCACAGCATGTTACGGCCTGGGGCATAACCCTAACAGAGACGGCTTGACTATCTTGCATAATTCAGAGTTAACTGATTTGTGACGGTCAGCTACGTGGATACTTCATCTTAAGAAATATATAAATGTTATACTGATTGTTAAATAAAATATTCATGTAAATATGCAACTTATTATTGAACCATAATCATCATAATTTTAGATTCATTGTAGTGATTTTAAGACTATGACATAGTGCACCGATTTTGATAATTTTGGATTTAATCGAAAGGGAATTCATCTGGCTTTATTTCAGTAAGAATCCCGGCTGTGTATTTCACAATTTATATGTATATGGATATCAGTGTACGCTTGTAGGACCCAGGACGTATTATTTTCAGCAATACAAGCCCCTGTGATTTAAAGCATGCAACAATGTTAAGAAATAACGTATTGCTAAATATTGTACTGCCAAAATGATGTAATACTGCATGTTACATACGATTGTGTAAGTTACAGTGCATTTGGTTTACTCTGCATGAGGACAGGAGGTGGAAAATACGATAAACCTCTTGCTCTAGCTACCTGTCCCAAACCTTGTCCTCAAATATGTTCTTCCTCACCATGTCCTCAAAATGTCCTCAGTTTGAAAGTACAGGGTTACAATACTACATATTACAAATGTGACTTGCGATTCCATTAAGAATATCTTGCCTTCTTGTAAATACAAAATTAAAATTAGATGAAGATAAAATTGCTTCAAAAGCGCGAGGAACGAACGTTTTATCATGAGTTACCTCACACCTCTTTTGATGAGACTGAGTTAAAAATTCTCACGGTTCAAGGGTACATATGTACCGTATGTCTTTAGTTATTTATGGGGTACACAAGTGACCAAGTCTTAGTCAACCAGAAACCTATGATCCCGGGTTGGAATATCATTTTTGTTCCAAGGCTGGTCAGTAACAACAAGCTCTCATGGAAGACCTTTTTACGGGGAAAGTATAGTTTTTCACGTGTCTAGCTGACACATTGTGATATAACTAAACCACAGGGCAAAAGAAAGTTCACCGACTTCACTTGACAAAAAACATGAAACAAAGGCGTAGGTAAGATAGATAATAATTATCTTACAAACATTTTCCAATAATTTGACTGAAAATTGATTGTAATGCGTGTCTTGCATTTGTCACAATTAATAAGGACAGAGTCAATGGGTCAAAATGGGTCTGACACAATTCAGAGTTTAATTCAACTGCATAAAGAGTCATATAATAGACTGGAGTCAAGACATGGCATCAGATCGTAGTCTGGTCAAGTCCCTGTCTGTTCGATAGAGGTACACGCTGTCTCAGCTGACGATCAAGATGATCCCAGAGATGTTCAATGGGGTTCATATCGGGAGAACGCGCTGGCCAAGGCAATACTTTTACGTTAATTGTGCAGGTATTCTCGAAATATTCTGGCGGTGTAAGGTAAATCTCCCAGATGTCTTCGGCCAATGTCGTGATTCTTGGTTTTCCCAATCTAGAGCAGAACAATCTTGGGTCTGGCTTGTTTGCTGGTAGCGGTTTATCAATTTGCTGATGGGGGCCTCGCTGTAGTTAAAGGTTCTTGCCAGCAGACCTTGTGCAGCCCCCTTGTTGGTTATACGATCGCCCTCTCTCGTTGCGCTTGTGTACGTTTTGGCACATTCATGGTGCCTTATTGGTTATTGTATGCTATAATATAGAACAAGTTTTTATGGATAACAACTTCTTTATTTCGTGAGTGCGACGTTTCGATACAGATTCTTGTACCGTTGTCAAGCAAGAGTGATACATGAAGTGTAGGAGCTGCATATGTATACTGTATAGAACAATGAAACAACATAATAGATAAAGAAAACAACATAATTGCCATGATTGGCTAAGCAGTAAGCTGATGAAGCCAGTGAGTACACAAAGGATAGTGAATGGAAGCCAGAGATGTAGTTACAATGAGATGTTTATACAATAGGTGCGATGTTTATACAATAGATTGGGCTTGGTGGAGGAGTGGGTCATAAGCTGATGGAATGAAATATCCTTGGTCACGGTTGATGGTGGGCTTGTGGCGTTTGATGTGAATGGCTTCTGTGAGTTTGCGTTTAGTGAAGTCCGTTTGGTTGTTGGCGAGAATGGTGATGTCGGACCACTCAATTTGATGATTGGGGTTAGCTTTGATGTGGTCAGAGATAGCTGATTTGGTGTCGGAATTAGCAACAGAGGTGCGATGTTCTTTGACTCGGGTGTTGATGGGTCGGGATGTTTCTCCTATGTAGCATTGTCCACAATTACAGTTTATTTTTATAAATGACACATTTCGGGTTGTTGTTGTTGATGGTGGGTTGTTTTCTTCCGTTGGCATGGAGGAGGTTGTTTAGGCTGGAGGACGCTGAGAAGGTTGTGTCTATGCCTGCCTGTTGTTTCAGGAGTCGGTTTATTTGGTGTGATGGTTTACCAATGTAGGGAATGGATATCTTGATGGGGGCTGATTCTGGTTTAGATCTTTTCGCAAGAGGTGAAAGCGTTGCTTCGATGGTTCTGTTGACTATTTCAGGTGGGTAGTGGTTGCGTTCTACAAAGACTTTCCTCAGGTGTTCAATTTCTTCCTGTAGGTTTGTTGAGCAGATGTTTTTTGGTCTTCTGGTCAATGTAGAGATGACGCCGGTCGTGACTTTAGGGGGGGGGGGGGGTGGAGTTGGAGTGGATGTATTGATCCGTATGAGTAGGTTTTCTGTACACGGAGGTGTGGAGTTGGTTGCAGGAGGTGCGGGATACAAGGACATCAAGGAAATGTAGTTGGTTGTTCTGCTCTGTTGCTATGGTGAATTTGATGCGGGGATGTTGGCTGTTGAGATGGACGAGGAGCTGCTTTGGATCTTGCTGAGGTTGGAGGATGACGAAGGTGTCATCCACTTTGCGGTACCAGCAGGACGGTTTGAAGGGTGCAGTTTCTAGGGCCTTATCTTCCAGGTCGGCCAATCATGGCAATTATGTTGTTTTCTTTGTCTATTATGTTGTTTCATTGTTCTATACAGTATACATATGCAGCTCCTACACTTCATGTATCACTCTTGCTTGACAACGGTACAAGAATCTGTATCGAAACGTCGCACTCACGAAATAAAGAAGTTGTTATCCATAAAAACTTGTTCTATATTGTACGTCTCAACTACTAAAATGCCACTCAAACAAATTGTATGCTATAGTTTGGCATGTAATGCATGTGGACCCGTGAAAAACGTAAACAGCACCAATCGAACTTATCTGGGGAGACCTTAAAAGTACAGTGGCCTGGAAAAATCAATCATTCAAGTTGAATGATGTCAAACACATTGTCAACACTGCTATATGTGACCGTGACATTGCACGCTGGCATGCATGTGTTGAACATGTCAAGAAGGTGGAGAAAGAGTACTGGCTCAAAGACGGCTTGAAGGAGCAAACAGTTCATCCAGTTGTCATTCGTCTGGACACTATTGACTCCTCTGTGGAAGAATGGAGTGAACTTGATGAAGTTTAATTCTGATATTATATTGACAGATAATACTAGTATCCAGCCAGATATGCTCAAAGAAATATAACTTCTTTTCACAATGACATCACTGACTAATTCCAACGACTTATAGTGTAACATGAAACACTCATTTAACATAAAATTATCATGAAAACATAAATATTAACTATCTATATGCTTAGAGCTATTAGCAATGCATTGCTTAATTTGGAATGTGAACGACATCAAAGCATAACACTTTTGTCTTCATTCTATCTTTTTTTCAATGAGTATACTATGATTGTGTGTGCTTGTGTCCGAGGGAACGGGGCTTAAACAGTTGTTGAGTTCTAACCATAGGTGGTCCGATTAATGATTTAGTGTAAATATACGTTCCGTGTTCTTTAAATGCATTTCCACTTGGGTACTGCATAAACAAAATATGACATAACATTACAAATTTAAAGATTTTAACCTACAGAATAATTATCACTAATGGGTTTTGTGGTTAATGTTGAACAACTCAGAGAAACAATCTCCGTATGATGGTTAACAGTTGGCACCCACCTTACCCTATTCACGACCTGTGACACCTCTTCATACCTGTCACGTGCATAGCTGACCTACATTGACGAACGTTGACCTTTCTGACCCAACCCTGCCGCTGTTACAGGTCATTGACTCCCTCCCTCTGCAAGTAGTCTGCGTTCTGCTGTTTATGATGTTGACAGTTACACAGACAGATTCTTTAATACAAATACATCAAATCGGTGATTTACAATGTGATTAGGTTGTCTGACAAAACATCCACTTGCACAGTTGGAGGTCGATTGGATAATTGGATGAAGAGATATTTACAAAAAACCGGGTCCACATGCATTTCATGCCAAACTATAGCTCTTTCCAACATCGGTATTTATGCAACAATCATGCACGTGCATTTGGACCACTGTCCAACAATTACGTTTTTCACGTTTTGAAATATGCACGATTCGGACGAAGTTTTCGGACAGCTGAGTTGTTTGGCGAATGTATTCAGTTTCAAACCTGTACCAGCGTTTGGGTTTTTGGTTTTTATACATTTACTTTAAAAGTGATAACTTTCTTTCGCCCAGTAGTTTAGAATAGTATTCAAGGGTGCGTTAAACCCAAGTTACTCACGTGACTATATATTGACCAATTAAATCAATCTTTCAGAATCATGCTTGCATCTTAAGCCCATGCAAGTTTGAAGAGGTGTGTATTCCGGTGACGTCAGCGGCAGACTTCGTATGCTTGCTTCCCGGAGATCAAGTATCAACAACAACTCAATATTCTACTCCTACTACGATGCCTGCAACGCCAATTCCGACGACACCAACAACTACACTAACAGCTCCGATGACAACAACTCCAACAACAACTCCAACAACAACAACTCCAACAACAACAACTCCAACAACAACACCTACAACAACCACTCCGGCAATGACTTCTACCACAACCACTCCAACAACTACGATGACGACAACCACTCCGACAACAACGACTCCAAGCACAACCACTCCGACAACTACGATAATGACAACAACTCCAACAACCACTCCAACCACAACCACTCCGACAACTACGATGACGACGACGACTCCAACAACTACAACTACGACAACGACAACGACTCCAACAACAACTACTACAACAACAACGACGACTAAAGGTAGGAAAAGGGACATCATGTATAAATAATTACACTTTTAGTACTCCCAATACCAAATTTTACTCTTCAAAAGAAAGAGTGAAATTGGCTTCGCACTTTCAAAAGAAGTATCTATAGTAGAATAGTAGAAATTAACGTGCTGTGGCAAATATGATCAGTACTTCACAGTGACTAGCAGACTATTGAACACTACCAGTATTCAGGACACATCGTCACAACTGGGGTGACCGTCGCTGGTCACTTGAAAGGAATATAGTGACAAAATAATGGCACCTTATATTGTCCTACTTGAAGGCGTATTGGTCTACGATCCGTCTTTTGAACGACCACGCCAGTGCTCACCGTGTTCAAAGTGTCATTGGTTACACTCAGCAGCACACATTCTACAGAATACTATGGTCAACAATGAGTCTTGACTTTCCTTGATTGATGACGTCTGGGACATCATAGGGAGACATATGTGTCAACGTCATAAGCGGCCTACGTTGGCTCAACTTGGTCAGGCGCTGCACGAGGAGTGGGAAGGGTTCCAACGAATGGTTTTGGGAGACTCATGCGTAGTATGCCTCGTCGACGAAATGTATCCAAACAAAGGTGTTTACTTGCACGCCTTAGAATAAAAGGGTCGGTGAGAGTATCCCCCCCCCCCCCCCCAACGATGCACACAACCTGTCAGGTGATCTTCAATGATACACAGGGTCTGAAATTTCCGATCACATTGGTGTAATGTGTTCCCAATTGGTTAAATTTTATCATAAATCTCCTCTCTTCGCCACGTATGTGATATATGCACACTAAACAGAAAATAACATGTGTATTACACGTCATTTTAATCAATATCATATCCACAACATACGCAATCGAAAGGAAATGAAGTAAAGTCAGTAATATTCGCCACATCGGAAATGTTCAAATAGAATCCATATTTCATTTACTATCGCTATCAACATAAATACATGACGCTGATAATGAATACACATAGTTTACGTTCGATTGGTGTTAGTGTTTGACAGAGGAAGGCATATCGTAGTAAGTTGCTGCATTTAGAGATTCACGTTTAAAATGACACAGCTAAATACAACTTGTCATACACATGAAGCGTGTGTACTGGGATACGATGACATTTGGCAAGTTAGCGAACCTCATCAACCAAACCTGTTAGTAGCCTCTTACAAATACATAGCATTGGAAGCAGTCCACTTTCTCGCGATATTCCTGTTTTGTAAAATAAGACCAACTGATGTTGTTCTGATTAACGCATTTTATTAGTGAGTGAGTGAGCGAGTGAATTTAGGTTTGCGCCGCACCCAGCAATATTCCAGCTATACGGCGGCAGTTTGTAAATAATCGAGTCTGGACCAGACAATCCAGTGATCAACAGCATGAGCATCAATCTGCGCAATTGGGATCCGATGACGTGTGTCAACCAAGTCAGCGAGCCTGACAACCCGATCCCGTTAGTCGCCTCTTACGACAAGCATTGGTTACTGAAGGTTCATTCTGACCCGGACCTTCGCGGGTACGCTCTTTATTCAACAGAAAACCCTTCAAATATATTTTCTGAAGGTTTAGGCCCAATTGTAGTAGCTCAAGATACCTAAATTGTGTTTGACCTGATATTCATAATCGGATTTCGGTCAGTAAAGCGAGTTTTCGATTCGCAAGATTTTTTAATTATCCACACTGTCGTGGAACAATGAAACACAGTTATCCAGGTCACTTCTTGCCTCCTCATTGATCGGATGGTGAACCGATGCCCCGTATTCCCGGAATCCCCACAATGTTAAGGAGGTGATTATCGTTCTGGAAGAATACATGAGTGGGCTGACAGATGGTGTATGTGTGTTGAAGAGGTGTTGACTAATTGGACCGTGGAAGATGCTCTGATGCACAGGGCGGATAGTGAAGACTGTGTGGCTCAAGGGAATCGCAGGTATATCGTACCGTGGCTTTAAAAGTGAAAATACTGATGAAGATGATACTAATGGACAGTTACTTGCGTCATATCACCCCTAGGCACATGCTCGTATCGTAATGAGTGTACATCTTATCCTACCTGACCGCCTCCGTGGTGTAGTGGTTAGAGCGTCCGCCCGGAGAGCGGAAGGTCGCGGGCTCGATCCCCGACCGCGTCATACCAAAAGATGTTAAAATATGGTACTTGTTGGTCCCTGCCTGGCGCTCGGCATTAATGGGTGCAACAAAGACTGGTCGGCTCGGAGTCAGTATAATGTGTCTGAGTGGGGTATTCATGCTTCACTGCGGCATGGTATCTCAGTGGGCTAGCACTATAAAACCAGCTTAAATCTGGGCTAGTACAAGCAGTCGCACACACACATACATACGCATGCACGTCGTCATATGAGCGAAATATTCTCAAGCACGACGTTAAACCCAATATCACCTCACCTCACCTCTTATCCTCTGTTGCAGACTGCTCGACGTATTCAAATTCCTTCACAAGAATTCAAGGATACGTGGTCTGGCTCCTCAACAACAAAACCTACACCAGCGTCAGCTCGGTATCAACGTGTCAACAATACTGTGTACAGTATACATCGTTCACGTGCAAGAGTTACGAATACTATTACTCCGAAAGATGGTGTTTCCTCCAGTCTTTTGTAAAGGATGATGCTCTCAGCGCATGGACAGCAGATTCCAGGGGAGACTATTTCCAACGTTTGCGTCAGTGTGATATCTCTGCGTGAGGGAAAACAAAGGCCCCAGAGTCAAATGTATCACGTGTTGCAATTACATTACAACGTGTTTGTTTTTATATGGGAGAATATCTCGAAATTATCAAAGTCGTTGACGTATGTCCATGACAACATATATTGTAAGGTATTTCTAAAGAAACATAAGAAAGATGTGCTTTGGTGGGCAGAGGGCGATAAGATAGACAAGTGTTTTAGCTTTCGCAAGTCACTGAGTTGTCCCCACAAGAACATGATGTTAGAAGCCCATTTTTTGGTGTACTACAATTGCTGTGAAACTATGCTCATCCACTGTTTGGGGTACAACAAGCGTTCCGCGTGCGTGCATTTCAATTCGATTTTGGAGGGTTTTTTATCGTGTGTGTGTGTGTGTGTGTGTGTGTGTGTGTGTGTGTGTGTGTGTGTGTGTGTGTGTGTGTGTGTGTGTGTGTGTGTGTGTGTGTGTGTGTGTGTGTGTGTGTGTGTGTGTGTGTGTGTGTGTGTGTGTGTGTGCGTGCGTGTTGGTTATTTATGCATTTGACGTGATGTCCTGGTCAACGTGTATTGGTCAGTGAGACACATGACATGGGCTGTTGAAGGACCGTCCACCCCTGCTTCAGTTATGGACAGCACGGATTGTATTTAAGGAATACAACAGGGGTTGCTTCATCGTATTTCTTCCGGGTTGGGGAAATCATTAGCATTCAGAGGAACATATTGATTCTTGGGAGCCGTAGAAGCACAGATAATCCGGTAAACAATTATTTTAAACAGTGTATTGTTGATTTATAATTGATAATTCTTTACTTGTTAACTGGACATTCGGAATGGCCAGAGGATTCCTAGCTCAGACTCAGCTGCATCAACAATAGACTGCCATTATGATAATGTCTACTATGAGGGGCAGAAGTTTAACGAAGGCTGAACTGTTTAGGTCTGTTGTATTATTATAGCTGCAATGTGTTGCAGATATCCGTTTATATTCTGAAGCAGTTTTTTTGAAAGATCCTCTGTGCGCTTGTATCATGACCATGCCGTTTTCACTGAGGAAATACTTATCAAATTCTCCCGAATATCTTACAAAATTACGCCAAGAAAGAATCAATTTGTTTTGTTGTTTAACACAACCATCAGCAATATTATTCATTGCGCCTGTAAATAATCAAGTGAGTTTAGTTTTACGCCTCACTTAGCAATATTCCAGCTATATGGCGGCGGTCTGTAAATACTCGCGTTTAGACCAGACAATCCAGTGATAAACAGCATAATCATCGCCCTGCGCAATTGGGAACCGATGACATGTGTCAACCAAGCCTGCGAGCCTGACCACCCGATCTCGTTGTTCGCCTCTTACGACAAGCATGGGTTACGGAAGGTTCATTCTAACCCGGACCTTCACGGGTGGTCAAGTCTGGACAAGGCAACCAATTGAATGACATCATAAACATCTATCCACGTATATGGAACACGATGACATGTGTCAACACATCTGACCATCCGATTCCCTTAGTTGCTTCTTACGGCAAGCATGGGCTGCTGAAAACCGGTTCTAACCCGGACAATTTACGACAGCAGTGCCTTATGAATGGTACAATATCATTGCACACTAAAGGTACAAAGACACAGTTGTTTATTTGTATCATCAAACTGTGTATTTCTTAATTAAGTCCCTTGTGCTTTAAATAAGGGTGTAAAATAGATATGATATATGTGGGAAATATGCATTGCCACTATGTAAATTAATAGCACCATTTGACTATTCTTTTAGCTTTTAGTTGTTTGTTTGCACTGAGACGTAACCCAGTCTCAATATAGCGACGACAGTCATAATCGAGGCTAACGAGGCTAACCGGTTGACAAGAATTTATTTTCAACATGATAAGCACTGAAACATTAAGGTTCAAAATCTTGAGCTGATAAATGTTGAGACAAAATAGTTTATGAATATCAGCCTATAATGATATCAATGTTTCATTAATATCTGTGTTTTACGAATATTATCCTTTTTTGCCTTATTCTAACTTTAATGCCATTTTACACAAATTTAGATGTTACCTGCAGATGACACGAGCACTGTGAAGTAAGTTTATCTTGTCATTCGAGGATTCCACATTGCCTTTCAAGGTTTACATTCATAAAGTTACATCTCCGCAAATCTCCTTATCCACACAAGATTCTACCCACAAAAAAACACAAGATGCACTGGTGTGTAACTTCAATGTGTATGTACAGATTTTCAAGGTGTGGATTCTAATTGTTAAACCTTTTTTCACACTCGATCTCAGCTAGCGATTCTCTTGAAACATTTATTTGCATCAAGCTCTACCTAACATTATATGTTTTGTGTAAGACGGATGTTGTTGATGATATATGTAAGTATGCAAATCCACCTTGTACACAGCTCTATTTCACTGAATAAAACTACATTATGAAGAGTTTATTGTTGCCTACCAACCAGCCTACCAATCAATCAATTAAATGTACCAGCATGGTGAAAGTTAGAGAAGCGGCCAATGAAATTCCTACACATACCTAAAGCTTGATGTACTTACAAGGCATATAGAAGTTGGTACTCTAGTATAAGACAAAATATTATGGATGTCAACTACTCCTTTATTCTATCCCCAACGTTTCCGGGCATTCCCTTGCCCCTTCGTTAGCGCCACAGATTAGCAGAGATCAAGGGGTTTACCTACCCAAGACATTGCTTGAATATTGCTAAAAACCATACCCACCCACTTGGTGGTTGAACAAATATTGGCTACCAAAAATCTCCCAGCCATTTTCAGTAGCTATCTGACATTGTGAATGGTTATCGGAATCAGCTCAAATGTATGTTGTTTGACACTTTTAGCAATCAAACAGATAGTTATTCTATCGGAGTCAACCATATTTCTGATGTAAAATATGCGACACTCTATTCTTGTTGTTGAGTTCAACAAAATAAAATGGAGTAGCAGGGATAAGGAAATTGAAAGAGGTCTTAACTTGTTACATTTGTACCTAACAACGATCTTAGCATACAATTCCTTTGAGCATCTGGGGGTCGCATCTGGGGGTCGCTGAGAGCATGATCTTTAAGATGCACAATAACCGCAGACCTACGATTTGTGTCAGTGGGCCAAGTGAATCAGCGGTATGAACGAAACAGGTAACTGAGTACCTCATCGACCGACCTGATATTTTGTCCCATGATTTGCCATTGAAATATTCAGGACCAGCAGCCCCATGCGAATTCCGGGTAAATATTAGCCCCCGTGTCCCCTGCAGCCGGTCGTAAGGGACGTGGAGAAGAGACTGGTGGTCAGTCTCGGCGATTCGGTTGATAACGTGTCCTCAAAACCACACAGCATGGATTGCGGCTTGGAAATATCCATCACTGGGTTATGTGGTGAAGACTCAAATATTTGTCCGTTACCGTCGTGTAGATGGACAGTTGCTAACGGTGGCGCCGAACAACAAACAAACAGTACCAGGAGTTTTCTGCAGCTAACGGAAAGTTGGGTCTCACGGGAACGGCCCAGCAGGTCACGGCAGACATACTCCTCACAAAGAACGCATTCAGGCTATGTTACTATTAATTAAACAATTTGTACGAGCTCAAACAATTCAGTGCATTGATAAAGATTCTTTGAAAGCTGTAGAAATTGTGTTTTACAACATCCATACAGAAGGTTAACCCCCTCTGGAATGGCCCACAAGATGACGGCAGGCATCTCCCAAAGAGATGCTGAAACAAAACAAAGATGAGGTCAGACAATGGCAAGATTTAACACACACAACATGTCGTAGCTATACACTCACAACAATTCCCTGAATTAAGAATTTATTCAAATAGCTATGCCACTATGGACAAAACAGTTTTTACGATCACAAAAACTTTCGAGCACTGAAAATGACTCCTGACCTGTGGGAAAACATTTCACGCACCATCACGCAGCCTGTTAACATCAACTCTGCCATAACTGTCTCAGTGGTAATGCAGCCCCTGACATAGAGATTCAGACAATGAATTGCCAGTGACGAGGAATGACTTGCAAAATTGTTTTTTACCATCCATCGCTCGTCATAAGGAGTACTTTATTGTTTTTAATACAAAGAGATACAGATAATAATTGCCGGTGAAGAGGAATGACTTGCAGGATTGAATTTACGCCAGCCAGAAGATCAATCATTCTTCGACAGGAGTACTTTTATGTTTTCATTACCCATCGTTATATTTATTTACAATCGGCACATTTAAATATGAAAACGATTCTTACATTTACCCTTTGTATGACAGGCGTAGCAACGCGTGTAAAACAGTACCAAGTTTTGTGCATTTCTGCTACTCAAACTACTCAATGATTTGTTGTTTAACGCCGCACTCAGCAAATTCCATTTACATGGTATCAGTGTGTATATAAGCGAGTCTGGACCAGACAGTCCATTGATTATCATCATGAGCATCGATCTACGCAAATGGGATACATCATGACATGTGTCAACCAAGTCAGCGAGTCTGACACCCGATCCCGTTAGTGGCCTTTTACGACAAGTATTGTTACTGAAAACCAATTGTAACCCGGATCTTCACGGGTACTACACACTGAATCCACGACAGTCAAATAGTCCAATTGAAAAGCATAACGGGGAAAATTTACTGTACAAAACATAAAATTGCATAAAATATAAGTTTTCTTCACTTTGTCATTACATGTCCTGATCCAAATAACCTGTGAAGTCTGTATGTACCAAACGAATGCATAAGTAAACCACCAGAAGTAGCATTCTCTACTTTTATGACCTCAAGTAATTATACCGATATTTTACACCAGTGTCATTTTATTTGAAGCATGCGACAATCCGGAAAAATAACGTATTGAAAATTGTAAACCAATAGTGTTTGTTTTCTGCAAATTCATTGGTCGAGAAACCTTGTCGGACATAGTTCGATTCCCTGAATTACAAAAGCCGAATAACAGCCCAATGATACATAAGAATATGCACTACTTTCATTTGCATAATGGAGGCTAACTCTATTTTGTGTGATGCTAATTTTTTTCTTGGTTCCTTTGATAAAATGTTTGGAGATGATGCAGTTTTGGAGGAGTTCATGAATGATAAAGGTAAGTATTTCATTTGTTTACCTAACAGAACGCTTATGTGCTTTTTAAAGTATTGATTGAAGAGACATAAAATCTCGGTTAAGCAAACACATTTATTCTAAAAGTGACATACAAAGGACAGTGTT